GGATTTCTCGATCAGCATCTTGAACTATCTTTTTGACAAGTAATTGTATTGATTCATATAATAATATTAAACGTTCTAAGAGTACAAATACAGAATTCCAATGTGTAACAGATGTTGTCGCTACTAGTTCTAAAAATTGTACTCGACATGTTATATGAGTATTTTTTTTGTTTATTTCTTCTTGCGCTTTTCTAAACATTTCTTTATACTTATCTTTATTAATTAAAAAACTATTTAGTTCTTTTGCTTTATCAATTAATTTTGTCACTTCACCAAATTTTAAAGAATCTGTAATTGAAAGTTGAAGGGTGTGCGCGGCACAGCGAATATGAATTACTTCAAGATTAGTCATTGCTTTAACCATTGATGAAGCGTTGTCCGTTGTTCCTGCAATGCATTTTCCCGAAATATTCCATTTTACAAATTCACGTCTCAAACAGTCTTCAATATGTTCCCCAGTATGAGGATAGGGAAAGTTTTCTATAGTCATGAGAACTTGATTTAAATTAAAATTAGGATCAAGCCAATGTGCCGTGATTCCAATATATGGTTTATGTGAACAGGTCCAAAGGTCGGTTGTAAATGAAAATGTATTCATTGTTGTTTGAAAAAGGTTAAGTATTTTATTTTCTCCGAAGTTAACTGCTTCATGAATTTTTTTTTTAAATATATCTTGGCATGGAATTTGATAGCGGGATTCTGCCTCATACATAAGGTCTTGAAATTTATCATTTTCTAATACGTTAAGTGCTTGCATATCATCGACTATCCATGCTAAAAGCCTGGAGGTTAATCTATCTTTTTTTTTAGAAGATAATGATGACGGCTTTGATATTGTATCTAATAACGTGGGTTGCGTAGGATCTTTTTGAGCTACATAGATAGATTTTTTGCCAGCAGGCTGTTCGGGTATGCCTGATAATGGTAATAATGAACCTTTTTCTGACAAGCGATGTACAGAACGAAGATGAGCTCCTAGTGTGCTTGTACTAGAAAGAAGTGAAAAAGATTCTCCGCATGGTCCTATTTTTCCATCTCGGTTAACTGGAACCTTACAAATTGTTTCTTTTTTTACATATTTATCTTTTCTCATATGATGCCATACCCAACTTTTTCCGGGATTGGGTTTTTTGTTAGATGATTTGACAAAAACTGATTTGTGTTTTTTTCTATTTTGTACAGGATTAATATTCGAAGAATCAGAATAGTCAAAACCATCCGATGGTGATGCAAGATTTTCAGGACTGTCTAAAGTTTGTTGTTCAGAATTATATGAAGATTCTGAAGCACATAACGAATTAGTGCGTTCAAGATTAGAATATTCAAGGTTAGATGGAATCGAATATTCAAAGGACATATTATAAATAGAATCTGAATTATGTTCTAATATATTATTAGAAATATCTTCAGATTCATATTGAAATATAGAATCATTCTGGTCCATTATTGAAGAATAACGCGTTTATTTACAAAATGAAAAATTTTATGTAGCTTGAAAACAAGACAAGATTTGGATATATGAACAAGAATTTCTTTACGAGTGGTTAATTAGAATTATTATTTATTGAAGGTAAAACTAAAATTTTTTCAATCGA